TCAACTCCTGCCACATCTCACAAATTGAACCACCAAATGGTACACATATCCAGAATATGTATGTGCATGAAGATTTGAGAAGGTTATCTTGGGATCGATAAGACACATGCAAAGGTACATATAAACAGTGCTGGGAACAGATTATTGAGCTGAGGGTTTGTATGGTCGAGGCATGAACCAGAACTATACATGTACATATTATTATATGCTGCACCAAAGACCTGTCAAAGGAGTAATCAGCACAAAGTCTACAAAAGAAATACTATACAAGCATCTGTTCCCCAAAAAGCAGCTCTGTGCTTTGCTTTGTCTGTAACTTAATACAACACCAACCCCCTCTCCTCTCAAAGTGAAATACATGGATATTTTTTCTACATAGTGACGTGCTTGGAGAAAAATCAAGACTTATTGATACAAGGGGGGGGAGAGAAAAAAATAAGAACTACCAGTGACATTTTCTACGGTGCAGAAATTAACCTGTATTTAACAAATATGTTTTTTGAAAAATCAAGACTTATTGATGGCTTATGCTCTTTATTAAACACATATTTAACAAATATGTTTTTTTTTCTATCTTAAAATTGGTGTGTGGGAAAACCCTTTGGACTTTTTCAGGTGTACAATGCATACTTTTTTGGTCAATTACATTAAAAATTCAAACAGGAAGAAAGTGCGCACCTCACATAAATGTTTTGAACCAAACAAAATTATTGTTTTTCTAAACAAGAGGAAAAGATTATGCTTAGGACAGGAGTCTCTACATCAGTCTGAACACCATGTCACTAAGTTAAGACAAACAATAATTTCTTTTTTTACAAGAACACATCAAAATATCATAAAAGTATGCTTGTCTTTGAGAACAAGTGCATCAAAAGAATTTTTAAAAATATATTTGTACCGTAGAAAACTTGCATAACGTGTCAACTCTCCATCTAACCACAAGGTAAGTTCTGTGAACAGAATAAGCCAAGATCCGCAGAAAACTTCAAAAAGCAGCCGGCATAAGTACAAATATTGATGTCCTAGTTATAACCTCTGCTATTAAATTTATCAGGAAGACAGCAAAACTCTTCACTACATCTTAAGAAAAGCTGTTATTTCCTCTCCATATTTTTTAACGGTCTTAAGCGATAAAAAGACCCCCAGAAAAAAATCAACCCAAAACAAAACAGAACAAGCAGCAACAAAAGAAAGACAGCAACAAAGAAGGGACGCACCAGTGCCGCCCTGTAACCATCTGCTTACACAAACATCATTTGTGAGGCAGCGTGGTGGAATCAGGCTCTCGTCAATTTTTGGGCATGTAGAGTTATTGGTATTATCTTAAAAAGCTTGTTCACTTGTCTTTATTTGACTGAAAAATATATCCATTTATCTTGAATACTAGTCGAGATATTTGTGAATGTCGGAGGTGGGGGTCACCTGTTTTCAGAGGTAAAATTAGTGAGAAAATGGCCGCTAAACATTCGTTATTTGCTTAGTTTAAGAGTCCGTGGTAACTGAAAATTTACATTTTTTGTGCCTTTTATCAACGTTTTTCAGAAAAATCCACACAGAAATGAGTCCTTTAATGGGCATGAAAGATGTTGAGCCGAAAAACAAAAAATTTATAAAAATTCGCAAACCTGCGGAAAAGTGCAAGTTTCTTCACTATGATTATTTTGATGAGAGCCTGATTCCACCACGCTGCCTCACATTTGTCCTCTTTAATAACGTGAACACTGATACCTTGATCAAATGTGACAGCCATTTCAAAGACCAAGTAAGTACTACTGAATTCAATATAAATTGATGGCTAGAATATTCAGTTAGTTTAGTTTTAGTAGAGGTTTTACTGCGCTCGCAACTGCATAAGGTCATATGAGCGCCAGAAGATTAGAGCTGTTACAAGAGAGTAACAAACATAAAAAAGAAGGGAAGATAAGGATGATAGATATTTGATAGGAGAGAAGGAGCAAACCACACCAGAGCACCCGCCAACCGCCCGCTAGAATACTCAATGGCAAAGACTGCCAAGAAGAAGAACAAGAAAAAGGGGGGCAGAGAGGTGCTAACAACCCATTTTGTGTTTCCATTCCACAAACTTTAGGTTGTGAGCCCGTACATAAGATTGACACTAAAGTATGAACACCACGATAAACAGTGGTGAAAATACCTGACATTAGCCAAAGCAAACATCATTTCTTCCCGTCACATCACCCAAAGCAAACACCATTTATTCCCGTCACATCACCACGCATTCACAATTAATTCCACCACGTGGAAAGTCTCGACAGTATAAAAATAAAACATTTTTTATAATGTTCTGTAAATATACAAGCGCTGTCTCCCTCATTCAAGTATGTACACTGCCACGCGAAGGAATGGGAGCCATGGAAAATATTAGCTCCTTTACTCCATCACAAAGAATGCAACAGGAGCTCCACTTATTCTGCAACACGCCTGCTAATGTCCACATCATTTTAAAACTTCTGTGCGAATGACAAGTGAGTGAGTGTGTATGTGTGTGTGTGTGTCTGTGTGAGCGTTCGCATAGTGCCAGTATACATACAGTAGGACTTTCTGAGATATAGACTTCTAGATATAATGCACTCATGTGGTTTGTGAGTACCTGAGATCCTGTATGTGTTTATCATACATATAGTGTGAACACCAATATAATATATTTATACGACATTTTCTAAGATACAAAAAACATGGCAAGCCCGAAATTCATCTTTCACGTCAGAGGTACATAGTTTTTTTCTCTAAGTCTGAAAGTACAACCTTCAGTGTGAGAGAGATACAATGACAAAAAAACCCAACTAGGATCCAATACAAAATTCATCTTCCGACAAACAGGGCAAAGAAAAATCAAGCATCACAAATTCACACAGATATTTGTGAGGCAGCGTGGTGGAATCAGGCTCTCGTCAAAATAATGAAATTGAAATCGAAGAAAACAGCAGTTTTCTCCCTGCTTAGCAATTTTTATCAAATTTGAGTTTTTTTGGCTCAACACCTTTTATGTCCATTTATAAACACATTCCTTTGAGGATTTCACCGAAAACGTTGATTAAAGGCACAAAAATATAAATTTACAGTTTCCATGGACTCTCCAGCTTTGGAATTTACTGAGTTTTGGCTGCAATTTTCTCGTTAATTTTACCTCTTAAATCAGGTGACCCCCACCTCCTTCAATCCAAAATATCTCCACTTCTATTGAAGATGGATGGGTAATTTTTCATTGAAGGCAAGACAAATGAACAAGCTTTAAGATGATACCAATAACTCTACAAGCCCAAAAATTGACGAGAGCCTGATTCCACCACGCTGCCTCACATTTCTTTCCTTGGGGCAGATATTAGTTCGAGAATCTTCTGTCAAAAAGCAATTATGTTCTTCTTTCATGACCGATGCCTTCTAATTCTGGAGATATCTGTTTGCTTGTCTCGATCTCACCCTTCAGAACAAAGTTTGCTCTTTGTTTGTACTCAGTGAAGGTACACGGCAAAGGTTAACACTTCTTTACTCCTTCCCAAGCAAAATCTCGGTGATATTGATTCACAGAGCTCTTCAGCACTAAACTGTTTTGATTGACATTAAAAGCAAAGAATCCAATACTCGGAAATGTCAGCATCTTAAGCAGGCTTTGTAATATGCCATGAAAGTGTTGCAATTTGACCCTTCTCATCCCATCGCAGATAGAACACGTATCTCCTTCAAATATCCCATTCTAGTAATTCATGCCCTTAGCACACTCTGGTCTATATAATAATTCAGCAGCGGTTGGAGTAAACGCATAATTTTTGTAAAATAGAAGGATCCTGACTGACTACCCCCCCCCCCCCCCTTCAAAAGACAACGTAAAAAAACCTTTATTTTTTTTAAATAAAAGGATGCTGACTGACTATCCCCTCCCCTCCTTCAAAAGACAACGTTTGAAAAAAACTTTACACAACCCCTCCCCCCTCCCCAACAAAACAATTGAAAACAATCAACAAAAATGCAACAGTCAATTTTACACACAAAGTGGTTGTCATCAAATCTTTCTCTTCAAGTCATAAAATGTAAAACTCAACTACTATTTGCCACGCCAACTGCTGGCTCAAGATGAAAAGAAACAACACAATTTATCACGAAGCTTTTACTGCCATTATTAAGTCAACACACATTGCAACCAATCACTGATGGTTGCTCAACTCATCTTGTTTCTCTCATTGACATAAACATTTTACACCCTCACTGACATAATTCAGACCATTCTGAGGGTGAGCTGCTTTGACCATACCCATCAGGTTGTGGGAAATACAGACATGCAGAAAGATGGAGCTACTTGATAAACGTCTTTACTGTAGGAGAATCGATCTCATGTCCTTTGCTTTTAAAGTGAAGCCTATCTTAATCTCGGCCTTTGCTTTTAAAGTGAAGCCTATCTTAATCTCGGACCATAGATCAGGGGTGAAACTGATATTCAAAGTAGCTCACCATGATATGCTAGTTATGAAAATTATGCAAAGAATGGTGTAACCTGACGCACAAAAAGATTAAGTAAAAGCCCAAATGCTTAAACTTTTTAAAACAGAATAAAAATGTCAATAGACCTTTGACCAAACATCATTTACATCATCCTTCTGTAGAGATCATAATTATCAGTTCCTCATATTTCTCTGCTGCTTCAAATTGTGGAAACGGAGCAGAACTAAACAATGAACAGACCAAAAATAATTGTGCATCAGATCTTGATGTCTGTCACTTTGTACTTCGGATCAAACACTTGAGACATTGTGAAAAGTTCAGAGTTCAGAAAAGGCACACAACCCCCCCCCCCCCCAAAAAAAAACAAAAACAAACCCCAACAACAACAACCCAACTTTCTGTGCTTCCAAATTATAACATAAAATGACACCCCCCCCCCCCCCCCCCAAAAAAAAAGAAAAAAAAAAAAAGAATTTACCCGGGCAGGCCCCCCTTCCCTAAAAAAACCCACAAAACGCCCACGGGGAGTGATTGAAGAGTGTTCTCTTTTCACTCGAAATCACATTGCATCATTCCATTCTAAAATCAATAACTTTGAAAGCTCAAAACAATTCTGGGCCAAAAAATTGGGATGAGTTTATATATTGTAAAAATCCCAGCATTATTGAGAAATGGAAATTTTGTGAAACAACAAAGGCAACACACAAGTTCTGCCGGCACTTTAGAACGCACAACCCTTTGCTTACTCTTTCATTCAAGGAATATTTACAAAAGAAATTCAAACTGTCCCTTGGTATCTAAACTGCTGGATGTCCAGTTCAGATCCCCCTCTATTCGAGTGACAAGTTACAGGAAGTACTACAGGCATTACCCTGCCGATAAAATACAAATTCATAGATTCTTACCAATAAAAAGGGAACAAAATCTCCTCACACTACAGACTTGTATTTACAGGCAAACATAATCCACGTGGCACAGGCTGATTCTGGGTAAGGGAAGACTCGAACTCGCACCGCTAGCCTCACTTTGTCCCCGCGACAGTTGATGATCTCATCACACACAGGAGACCTGACCAAACAAAGAAAAAATTGGAAGTAATTTTCCAAGTAGAATCTACTTACTCTACAACATCCTCCTCCAAATAGAAACAAATAATCTAATCAGTAAAAAGTATTCCACTGGATTGAAGTAGATAAGATAAGATAAGATACATCTTTATTGTCCAGATCCTGGCACATTGGTTTGGTGTTCCACCACGAGTACACACACACACACACGCACACACACACACACACACACACGTACACACAAAAGTAGGTTTACAATCACATGCATAATATAAATGAGCAGCAATATAAACAATAATAATCGTAAGCTAGATACACACTCAATGTTATTTTGATGCATGCTCTAAGGTCGTAAGTATACTTATACAAGATGGTTAAGATGGAAGCATTTTGATAGATGATGGTAAAAATGACCTTCTGTATCTTTCTTTGTTACAGATCAGAAGCATGGGTCTTTTACTTCTGACTGATGTTTTTATTTGAGGGAACAAGGGATGTTTGTTGTCTAAAAAGATGGAATTAATTTTCTTAGTGCAAGCTGTTATGTACAATTCATCCAAGTAGGGGAATGAAGATGTTGAAATTTTACATGCTTTCCGTACTAGTCGATTTAAGTGCAAAGTCAGCTTCATAGACAAGAAGCCAGTTTGTATTCACAAATAAGTCATACAGGTCAAAGTTAGGTCCTTTTCAGAGGGTATCGATTAAAATTATCAAAATTCTGAATACCTTAAATTTTTTTGGGGTAAGTGTTTTACGGCGCTTGCAACTGCAAAAGGTCATATGACCATTATGAGCGCACGGGACACATTAAAAATTTTTCAGTCGGTAGGAATTTTGAATTTTGTCCTGGTGGCCGCCAAAGCCTACTCTTATCGATTTTAGACCACCAATGGATCTTCGGGGCAAAGAAGGTGAGGGGGTGGGGGCACAAAGTGGGGACAAAAGTAGATGTCAGAACATTGCTAAATAGCAGAAATAGCTGGAAAGGAGGGGAAAGGAGACAATTCTAGAGAAGAAAATTTTTCGGTCGCTACTCGGATTCCAACCCGGGACCTCTGAATGAGGGGCAAACACCTTAACCTCTAGGTCACCAGAGCCCCCCTATACCTTAAATATAGATGTAGCATGTTGCAGAGAGATTTGCATAACAGACATGTCAGATATGCAATACTATATATATAAACAATCTCAACAAGGAACGTCCTGCTTCAAGAGTTGGAAGGTCTAAAAGTAAACAGTAATAACAAAGCTCCGTAACATGCAAAACGTAAGGTTTTCCTGTACATTCTACAGTTCATCATCACAGTTCAAAGTTCTTCATCACAGTTCAAAGTTCATCCATGGAAAGAGCAAGAAGTGACAAGTTAATTTGCATGTTTGTTTGAGGAAAGAGAAGCACATTGGCATAATAAGGATCATTTGTGAGATGTGCTGACAAAATGAGTTACTTCTCGCAATCCAAGAATGGAGATATCGGCTGAAAATCGACACTGGGATCAGATTTATAGAATTTCAATTGATGCCATTTTGTTCAAGTTTACTGTGTCTTTTACTATTCCATGCTCACAAATTGCACAAACTTCAGCTATCAAGTTGATGTATCAATTTCCATAATGCTCAAATCCGAGAAGTAACTCATTTTGTCGGCACACCTTACATTTAGTATTGAGAAAAAAGGAAGAGAGACAGACAGGAACAACAGAGGGAAAGAACAGAGGCAGGACCTACAACCACTCAATCTCTTTACATTTGAAGAAAAACATTTACACCTAAACCAAAAGTTTGGAAGATTCCAGAATACAAAGAGACAAAAACATAAAAAGCTGGCTTTCGGGCTTTCTTAAAAAAATCATTAAAAACCAAGATACCCCACCAGAAACACATCATTAGCTAAACTAACAAACCTTTTATATATTCACATGACCAGAGGCACTTAAAAACAAGTCCCCTTTCTCAAACGCAGCAGAAAGTTCTCTAAAGAAAAAACAAACAAACAAGCAAAGTAAACTACTTCCAATGGCGTTATTAGAATCATAGCACTACGTACCTCAGGCAAGTGGTGAAGGCTTTCCGAGCGTTTCTATGTGTGAACTGTATGGGATAACCTTTGAAAGTCTGCCCGTCAGGTACAGCTTGTCTCACGGCATCCTGGAATTCTTCGTTGCCCGCAGTTATACCTGGGTGTGTAGCAAAAGCATGTGAAGCCATGGGTTATGGCACTTTAATGACAATTAAATGCAGAATGGCTGCCTTAGTGGCTCTTCATGGGGGTTGTATGGAGGGAGTGCACAGACTTGGAGCAAGAGCAAAGAATTGCTGAAGACATGTCAGTTACAAAAATACAGTCAACACTTTTTCTTTTTTATGATCTAAATCGCTTCATAGTCAGTTTAGTCGTTCAGTTACGAAATCAAATTTTACAAAAGGAAGGTTTAGGAGAGCACTTATCAGCTATTGTTGCGAACAAGTCAAAAGTGAAACAGCACGACAACTTCCACATTTTGCTTGACAATACGAGTGGTGAGGAGAAAAGTAACACTGAACATGAATAGGAACAGAGCACAGCAGAGCACCTACCAACCACCAACAGCTCATCTGCACAAGGGATCAATCAAGTCCAAACAGAGTGAAAAATATGTGAGGCAGCGTGGTGGAATCAGGCTCTCGTCAAAATAATCAAAATGAAGAAACTTGCATTTTTCGGCAGGATTGTGAATTTTTATCACATTTTTGTTTTTTTGGCTCAACACCTTTCATGCCCATTAAAAAACTCATTTCTGTGAGGATTTTTCAAAAAAGCGTGGATTAAAGGCATAAAAATGTAAATTTTCAGTTACCACGGACTCTTAAGCTAAGGAAATAACTAATCTTTGGGGGCCATTTTCTCACTAATTTTACCTCTGAAAACAGGTGATCCCCACCTCCTTCTTTCGCAAATATCTCGACTTGTATCTTAGATAAAAGGATGTTTTTTTTTCATCTGAATAAAAGACCAGTGAACAAGCTTTAAGATGATACCAATAACTCTACATGCCCAAAAATTGACGAGAGCCTGATTCCACCACGCTGCCGCACATATACTCATGATAACTTTCGCAGATCTGCCAACCACTTATTAACCCCCCAAAAAGATGATCCTGAGAACATTCCCTCAAACCTGGAGTAATGGTAACAAAACAAAAATGAAAGCCACCAGAACAACAGAAGATTAAGATTACTTCACGAAGTGACCATGACGAATAATGCGTATTGTAAATATATGCAAATTAAAATCTGTGATTTCATGTCATTTCTTAAATAAGTTGTGCAAATACTGTTAATAAACGCGAACAAAACTGTATCTACACTTTATTAACGATAAGTCACATATGACTGATGGAACCATAATTCTTGAAAAAAAATCAGGTTTTACTCAAGTCTGATCTGAGTTCTTTGACAGCACCAAAAAATAAAAATCAGAGGGCTCCAATTTCTTCCAAGTACTCAGCAGGTCTGTTTTCAATACATCCTGTGAAGGGAATCTCATAAATCAATACGGCATTAAATTTTCTGCCAAAGGTCAACGCCCAGAAGATGCCAGGACTCACCAGTGACTCTCTCCACTTCATAGGCCGCTAGAGCTGGACTGAGAATGTAGCTGAGTTGGTCATCCCACTGTGTGGTCAAACCCAGGTCCTGAGGTTCACAGTGGAAATAAAACGTCATAAGTCAAAATACAATTCTATTTCAATGGTGCATGTTGCACAGTTGGCAGCTTTGACGCCTGCGGCGTAGCGGTTAGGCCTTTCACCATTACATACCCCCCCCCCAACAAACATGAGTTTGAATCCAGGGTAAGGGAAAGTTGTATTAAGTATCTCGACCTTTGTGCCGAGACTTTAGATCCCTCTCAGCCTGGGTTGATCCATACAGACAGGATCAAACCCCTCCTCCTAAATGATTTAAATTGTGTTGACAGGGATGTAAAAACACCTAAATTTAAAAAAATTTTTAAACCCTCAAACAGTAAGCAAAATTGGCATTTAATAATAATATTAATAAATAATAAATAGCATTTGTATAGCGCATATCCCCGTTCAACAGCAGGCTCTATGCGCTTTACACCATATTATTACCCCAGCAGACCATAGAACACTCCGAAACATTCTCAGCTTCCCCGGAAGCACACAGTGCAATCAGCCGATTAAGCGCTCAAACACTAACAAACTGACAAGATCTTTCGCTGTCTATAGCCGGGTACCCATTCCCATTTGGGTGAAGTGAGGAAAATTCGCGTAAAGTGCCTTTTCCAAGTACACAACGTCGGGCCCCTGACGGGATTCAAACCCACGACCTTACGGTTGCGAGTCCGAGAGCCTAACCACTAGTTGTGGTGTAATGGTTCGGCTCTCTGTTGTGGCAAGCAGAAAATGTGACTTTTGATTCCGGAGTAGGGAAGATTTTGAGGAATATCTTCCTTTACCTCTTGGGATACTATATCCTACTCAGCAAGAGCGAAATGCTTGCAGCTAAAGGGATTTGAAAACAACAACATCCTACTCAGCTCAGGTTGACTTTGACAGGTGGGCTGTCAGAAGTCCGTCACTTTTTGCTGTTTATTGTTGTTATTGATCCAGTAACTGCTGGTCTCTTGTTCTTCTGTTCAATGCCATGTAGAGATAAAAGTGAAAGTTTGCGGCAATTGCCGAAATGTTCCACAGAGTGTGCTGTCAACGTTAGGTCTCTGAGCAATATTCTTTGCCATATCGACAGACCGAAGGGCTAGAACCCAAATGGCCGCTGGATCGGAAAAGTAAAGTAAAGTAAGTCTCTGAGCAAGAATAGCAGCTCTGATGTTATTTTGAGCTAAGCAGTGGAACAGGTGATGAATTCAATAATATCCCCAAATTCTAGACTAGATCTGGCCAAGAACTTTAGATTAAAAACTTATCACTTCAATTTGCTCACCCGCCGATGCTCCATGACTAACACTCGGAGTTGTTGCTCTAAATCGTTGCTGACCAGGGCAGAATCGAGGACAGATGGACTCAAGGGAGGGGGGACGGGCCACTGGGGGCATGCTCCTGGCCCACAAACCGAGACAATGGCGTCCTGAGACATGGACTTCCAGTGGGCTTCATTGTGGAGGTCAAAGCGACACACTTCCACATGGTCAGATGCCTGGAAGGAACAACAGAAACTAGGCTCACTGACAATATCAGCCTAATTGACTAAAACATCTTCAGTTAAAAAAATTTTGTTGGCAATGATTCACAAACTGTCAATTAAGAGAATGAGTAAAAAACAGAAACATAACACACTTTTCACGTTTCTGAAACTCCAGACATTTGTATGAGAATATCATAACTGAGTGTCATTTCAATAAAGGCGAGCCAGTTCACGTAGCAAAGAAACTGACAACAAACATCTGTGGAGCATGCTAATCACAGCCCATTTTCTTATTTAATGGAGACAGTGAATTTCATTACATTGTACTAACCTTTATTAGACACTAGTTGTAACTTTTTTCATCATGTCATTGAAGGATACTACACAAACAAAACGCACAGTATTAGATTTCTTTCTTTCCTGTTTTCCACCTGAAATCAATTCCTGAGAAATATTTAACTCTCATTACTATAAACCTAAGAAAACAGAACACCCCCCCCCCCCCCCTTTCCCCCAAATTACCAATGCCCATTCATAAAAGTAAAACTGGGATGGGGGGGATGGGGGGCAAAACAAATTTCAACTTACCTGACTGTTGGCATAAAAAGATGTGTGGTTGAACACACACCCCACAGTCTTGTACGGGTATTTTGGCCTTTCAGCCTTGGCCATGGGCGGGCCATTGGGATCAATGGCATGATGTATATATCTGTGAATACACAAGGAAAACTGTGAAGGAATGTATGATACGAGTAAGGAAGATAATACTAAAAGGAAATAATGTTTCCACTAAACAATTTCACCACAGTAGTAACCATTCAACCATTTTTATTACAAATCATTCTATACTTCAGAATTCATATGCTCATGCTAAAAATTATTTTTTAAATATTCTCTTCTCACAAGTGACATCAATCACAGGTACAGGCCATTCATTTTTACAAGTTTAGAGCAACATCATACTCAACCAGCAGTAGTAGTAGTAGTATAGGGTTTTACAGCGCTCGCAACTGCGTAAGGTCATATGAGCGCGCGAAACACAAGTTGTTTACTTTATTCAACCAGCAAAAAAAATAGTTTACGCACATTCTACATAGACATCTCACATGCTCAGCATGGTTCAAACTTTTGTCTCTACAGTAAAATTATGAAAGATGAAGTTATGAGGAGCTGCACAAATAAAAAGTAAGGATACTACCTGACCACCATCAATCCCATTATCTTACTTATCATTACCGAGCCATAGACAACTTTCCAAAACGTCATAATTGTCAGGCTTGTCCCCTCTGAAATAGCAACCGTGCCCCAAAACTGACAAAAACAGAATGTGGACATTTGATTAAGATAAGATAAGATAAGATAAGATAGTACTTTATTATCCCACAGGGAAATTTTCCTTCGCTGTACAGGACCGTAAAAACACATGCAGGTATACATTAAAAAAATTTAAATCATATATATTACTCTCATTAAAATTCAATATGAAAGGAGAAGTAAAGCTGACAAAATGTACATTTACATCAAATGCATCAGTCAACCACTTGCAGGAATTTAAATACTAGACCTTTGGAGTTATATACAGATACATACTCTATAAGAGCAACACACATGTAAGCTCATTCTGACAAAAGCCTTATTAAGGCAGGGCACTAAATTCAAGGTGAGAAAAGACCATATCCTGCAAACTCAGTTACACTGTGGGTTAAAGAAATGGAACAGACAAGAAAAAAAAGAGGAGCATTAACACTAGCAGCAAAAGGAGAAATACGAAGAGGAGAAAAGGATCACTTTCCTAATGCCTTTAGTCCCATCAAAAACAAAAAAAAAGGAAGAAAAATGAAATCTGTGAAGAACTCCAATAGAAAATTAATGTTTTTCAATTTTTTTGACTGTTAATATGAACGATGTTCATCTTTCAAGAGCATACAACAAGGAGATGAAATAATGGTGCCACTGTCGGTTATAAAAGTTGGGTCCAGCTTTCACAAACTTTCTACAATATGAAGCCATTTCACAGCATTTTATCCAAATAATTTATCATCCACTTTTAACAAATAAAATCAAGGTCAGACAGAGCTTGCTGTAAAAGATGGCATAAGCATACCAAGCAGCTGTAAATTAATGTATTTTTAGGAGGTTGTATGGAATATAAAACAGCTAGGAATCTGAAATTTTACACAAACGAGGAGAAAATACTAAAAATTCAAACTAAAAAAACTGTGTTGACGACAGCATGCAAAAGCCATCAGATGTGCTTACTCTGCACATTCTCATACAAACAAATATGTGAGGCAGCGTGGTGGAATCAGGCTCTCGTCAAAATAATCAAAGTGAAAAAACTTACGTTTTTCCACAGGTTTGTGAATTTTTAATGAAAATTTTGTTTTTTTAGCTCAACACCTTTCATGTCCATTAAAGAACTCATTTCTGTGAGGATTTTTCTGAAAAACGTTAATTAAAGGCACAAAAAAATGTAAATTTTCAGTTATCACGGACTCTTGAGATAAGGAAATTTTATAACTAATCTTTGGTGGCCATTTTCTCACTAATTTTACCTCTGAAAACAGGTGACCACCATCTCCTTCATTCGCAAATATCTCGACTTGTATTCAAGATAAATGGATTTTTTCCCATCCAAATAAAGACGAGTGAACAAGCTTTACGATGATACCAATAACTCTACATGCCCAAAAATTGACGAGAGCCTGATTCCACCACGCTGCCTCACATATAGAAAGAACAAGTACCTGTGTCCATTTAAACTTTCCCAGAAAGTGATGAGTCCATCAGCACTGACTGTCATGACCCAGGCATGCACTGACCCTTTGACCTTTGTCCCGACACAGATGTAGGCGTCCAGGCCAAAGCCCAGCAGGAGGCAACACAGAAGAATGGCATGGTCTTCACAGTCCTGGAGAAGGAAGGAGTAGCTTCTGATATATCATCAGTCAATTCTTTAGCAGGAGTATACTCTAAAAACTAGTAATTCCTTCTAATTGATCTAGAACAATCTTCAACCTCGGTACAAAATGACTTAGCAAGTAATACTAGCATCGAATCGCGGCCGCGATTTTTGGCATTTTTTGGTTCGCGAATCGCAGCCGCGATTTTTGCATTTTTCAAAATAGACAAAACAACAAAGCTACTTCATAATATATTAGACATGTGTTTTGATAAGTTTTAAGATGTCCCTGTGTACCTATTTTCATGCGGAGAATATAAGTACATGCACATTACAGTACATACTGTTTATATTGCTGTCTGTCTTTTATTTTTCCCTCTTTGTTGTGTTTTAATTTGGGGGTGTGTTAATTTTTCTAAAAATTGTTCTGATGATTTGTTTTCTTTTTTGTGTTTATACAGCGTAATGTCATTTAACTTAATGCTGTTCCTTCCCTTTTAAAAATATAAATGGGTTATGTTAGAGCGTGTCTCCACCAAAACAGAATACCGACACTGGCACGCCCCAATTGTGTGTGATTCCATAATTTACATGTAATATCCTGTAGGCCTACTTTTTCTTAAATTACTCACGTTTTGGCCAATTACTCACGTTTTGGCCAATCTTCAGATAGGTGGACACACGCCCTTATTTGTTAATTTTTGTGGTTATTTATCCGTGCTGTTCTATGTTTTTTCTTTCATTCTATTGTGAAATCTTTATTTTTCGTGTTGTTACCCTGTGGGTGACGACACATGATGTTCTGGATGCTCAAAACAGAGCACAAGAAATTCTGGTGCTTTAGATTGTTACCTCTATCAACATATTGCTAGATACGTCGTCACAGAGAGTTGAAAGCTTGAAAATTAATGGCAGCTTTTTTAGCAACTTTTGCCACTTTCTGTGTCAACTTTTGGCAACTTTCGGACAAAAAAAATGGCAACAAACGCAGATGCTAGGTAATATGAATCAGCTAACTTGATGAAACAGATATTTTATGAAAAAGCCATCACGGAAAATAAAATTTACACCCAGTGTTTTGTCCAGACCACAAACAGACAAACTAATCACTGACCCCTCTGTTGCGGCACAAAAAGGAATGCAAGTTGGTCCACTGCTCCACCCGGTCGCCTCCGCCAAGTGTTTGCAGCTTTTCATGGTGCATCAAAGAGACAAACCTCGCAGCCTCACGAGGAGTATCTAGCAACCGACCGGCTCTGAAAGGCTTCACGTACGATGACACTGGGCGCTTCACTCCGTTCTCATCCTTCAAAGACACAAACAAAACATTTATCTGGAAAGAGCCTGGGGAAACACACTGACAGGGTAACATTTAGTGCAAGAAAAAAGACAAAATAGAAAGAAAATCAAAGAAGGAAGCAAAGAGGATCTATCTGTCGCTCACTTTATCACTTGCCATCTTCAGCGAAAATATTAAAGTGTATATACCTTCAGAAATATAATTTTTTTAATAAGTTGTTGACTAAAAAAGAAAAAGGGGCAAAACTAGACAATAGAAAACTTAATGAAACTCTATTAAGAACCTGCAGGACAAATGTCACTCTGTGACTGAAGTAAACCTATTTCTAAAAGCATGCAACATTCAAATATAATAAGAGAGCAGAAAGAGGATACAACAAGGGACACACACACACAGAACACACCTTGACAGCTTCCCCTCCATAAGTTTGTGACATCAGGTATTTTAACATATTTATGTAAATACAGTCGAACCTGTGTAAGACAGAATCGCAAGGGAGCCAGAAAAAAATTCCGTCTTAGACATTTTCCGTCTTAGACAGGGGAATTTAGGGGTAGATGGGGCGGGGGGGTGTTCAAAGGCCCAACCAGTGGGATCAAGGATCGCTTGTCCGATCAGCAAGCAGGGGTCAAAACTTCACACCTCTCAACTGCTATCCTGTCTGATAATGACATGCGCCAGTCTTACTTATCCAATTCCACCAGAGCTTGCCTTTCATAGGCCCACTGTTTGACCTATTAAAAACAGAAACGTTTCAACATCTCCTTTGTTACACCCACCGGTGTAACAAGCACAGTCAACCAATGCCACCCCTCACTGCCATCGGGTAACAACGATTTGAGGAACTCTTTTCTTGGCTGGCGTACGATCAGGGCGGCAGGAATTGGTCAAACTAATTTCGCACCTCTGGCTTCGGGCTACCCAGGAAAGTTACCGTGGTGGCTCGCTACTCGAGCACTCTCACGGGTAGTCGTGAGATTTCACACCCACACTAATCTGACCATCTGCATCGTTCAGGGCTCACATGATGGGGTAACACCTACCCCCAAATTGCACCCCTACTCCTCTTCCTTGCCTAGCAGCATGGCCAGCCTAACCAAACTTGCGAGTTTTGTTTCAAATCAGGGCTGAGCGGAAAAAGCATTTTCCGTCTTAGACAAGTGAAACTCTCGGAAGGGAGCAGATTTTTCTTTCCGTTTCCGCGTTGGACAGGTTTCCGTTTTATACAGGCAATTAAAGAGGAATATATAAAGGGGAGGGGGGGAGCGGGGAAATTCCGTTAAGACAGGTTTCCGTTTCATACAGGTTTCCGTTTCATACAGGTTTCCGTTAAGGCAGGTTCAACTGTATACAGAAAACCCCCCCAAACAAACCAAAATCATTCCTAAAGTTCAAAACGCAAAAACAAAATCAGGCAAATATTGACCTTCATGACCTCACCTGAGCAAACATCTTGACCAGCCTCTCCTGATGAGACTCCCTGATCTGCAAGTACTCCTTCCACCACTGCTTGGCGTAGACCAGGAACAAACGCTCCCGATCAGCCTGGCGGCTGCGCTCCATGTCCAGCTGGGCACGGACAACATTCTCCTCGAGGGCCTGGCCTGGCCGAGGGAACAACTCCATCTGAACCTCCAACACTCCGACAGGCACACGAGCTTCGTTTCCTGGAAAAATCAGAGAGATGGTTGTCACCGCTTGGTGCAATAAAACGAATGAACAACACTACAGCAGTAAGTCTACTCACATACAGGTACATATTTCTTCTAAAATCTCTCTCATTTTGATAACAGAAATGAAACCAACGTCGAAGAGAAAAAAACAACTAAACAGGTTACAATCTGTTCATTTTTCACCGGCTGTAAACTCATTACTTAAACTCAAAGAACTCCTATGTACCTCTTCATTTTATCATTTTGTCTTGCGATTTCCTCCTGTCTCCTAGTTCGGTGAAAATCACAAATAAATACAAAGATCTAGTTTTCAAGACAGATCCAAATAGAAGTTGATCAGCACATTCATATTTCAACTTTCTCCTTTTGCAACACTCATAGTTAACATTTTCTTTCTTGAAACAATAATAAAATTGAAACATTACTGAAACATTTCCTGAAACAAAATCAGCATATCATCTGACAGATGATGCTGTTGATCATCATTAGCTCTTCCTCCGGGAGCCCTATCGTGAAGTGAAGTACCTGAAAAAAACATCAGCTTTTTTCCACAAGCCCAGTGCTAACAATTCTTTTTACAGAGCAAGAGCCGCATCAGATGGCTCAAGTCAATGCCATCATTGCCACATATGGGGCACAGAGCAACGGCTCACAAGCCATGGAATCTATGATAACCACGTTATGTACAAATATTGACGACAACAATAATATGTACAAATACTGATAACAACATGTGCAAATATTGATGATAAGACGTATACTACTGATGACACAACACACACAAATATTGACACCAACAATAATATGTACAAAAATCTATGACAACATGTGAAAATATTGACGACAACAACATGTACAAATACTGATGACAACAACAATAACATGTACTACTATCGACATCAACGACAACATCTCAAACAAACATGCGGTAAGGAGTCGCTCACCTGTGCCCATCATCTCAATGGAGGTTTTCATTTGACCTTGTTTAGCAGTCAGCAGTGGCCGCCATTCAAAGAAGTGAGAAGATAAAAGAGTGGTTTCCCCTACAGCATCTGTTTTGACCAGCACCATGTGAATGGGGTCACTTAACGACAGCATAGATGGAAAGTCAGCCATTTTGCCAGCCTCTCCTGTAAAAAAAAAAACCAATGGAAGAACAAATACAGTTCCTTGTATTTGTAGTGCAATAGACTTTTTAGTAGAGTAATTGCCAACATGATGATGATGGTAACAAAACAAAAAGTTTGGAGGATGATTCTTAATTTGCTCCAAACATTTCTTTAACAAGAGAACGATGAAAAGAGAAAAGTTATGTCATTCATACCATAGAAAAGCAAATGTCTTGGACCTCATAAATAAATTCGAATGATAAAGAACAAAAAAAATTCCAGCGCCAAAAGCGTTACAGTTGGTTCTTGTTATCCCTACAAATTACTATGAAATTAATCATGACTCTTTCTAAACTTTCTTTCAATTGATTCAAAGTTAGTGATCGGAGTCATCCCATAGTAAGTACAGTCTAACCTGTCCAAGACAGGATTCCAAGGGAGCCAGACTAGAAAACAATTCCATCTTACACATTTTGCTAAAAATACAGTTCTTAGAATTATGACTCATGTTGGGGGGAATGCACGACCTAGAATTGGAATAAAATGTCTGAATGGATTTAAATCAGAGTCATGGGTTTACAATTACCCAAACTCGGAAGTATCTAATACATTAGCCCAGCTAATTTTTTTGCAATTTCTCTTCAAACAAGGTGACTGAGACCCTTCATTTTCTTGATCCCTTCCATTTTAATATATATATAATACAACCAAGTTTTAATCTGCAAGTTCCAATCAACCATAACTAGCCATCTAGTCTACTTAAATCATAAGGTGACAAGAAAGACATTATATGTACCAGCTTCACCCTTGTGTAGTTCCAGCAAAAAGCCCTCATCAAACTCTGGCTCCACAGCACAAGGCACAGGTCGGGACCTGTACCTCTGGTTTCTGTAGTAGATGTGCAAAGTGAAGTATGCAGCGACCTTTTGACCTGGGAGGGCATTTGGATCCTCCAAGTGTTCAAGGAATGCCTTCCCTCCTTGCACCATGAAGTAAATGTAACGCCGCGACGGGTCAATATTAGCTGGAAGGACGGAAAGTAAAACATTTATATCATAACATAGATTTTAGTTATTTGATGGACAGTCAACGAACTTCAAAAACAATGCAACCTCAATGCTTTACACAATAATAATGAAATAACAAGACTACAGACATTTACAAAATTATTTTGTCATTAGCATACACTCAGCAATTTTTCTTTTTTTAAATCAAAGATGTCTCATATTCAAACAAGTAAGACCACTTTCAGTTTTAACTCATATTTACTCATCTCTTTCTTGGATAGCTGAACACAAGGAAAAAAAAAGCATTCAAACTGAAACATTCTCTCAATACATTCACATTTTGAGGTTTGAATATTATACATTAGACATATCCAACACAAATATTTTGTACAGAATTTACAATGAATGTGTCTGCTTCATGGGTAGTATATAGGACCCAATTAAAAAAAGCACAAACAAAAAACATATAAGACAGAGAGAGTAGTGTGAAAAAGCAGGACCCAGTAACCCTTTGCAATAAAAAACTGCACACAACTCTTATTCTTGAGAATGTTTGGAGCAAACAACTTTTTTTGACAACTTTGGCAACAATTACAATACAACACTGATCAACATATGACGTATGGTGGCTTACCTTTTTTAGAAGGAGGCTGGTTCACATGGCTATTTGTGTCAGCAAAATGTGCCGCTGGTCTACCCCCCTGTGCTCCATCAACTTGGATGTGCCTCATGATTTCATCTACCACTCCACGTTGCCGCAGTTGTGCCATGACATCAGCCTCACTAAGGTCTTCATCATGTCCATTATGATTAGCGGAAATGTTGGAAATCACATTGCGAATTTGACTTTGGATGTCCATCTGGAAAGAGAACAGTACAAAGTGTTAAAACAAAAATTCCCTTTTTATGATTACAACTTACAATATTAAGCTTCACATTCAATTATGTACAAACGGCTGTGTCGGCCTAGTAACAACCCTCTTAGGAAGCAAGCCATTGTTGTGGCCGGATGTTACTGCTAATTGAATTGTCAAATTGAGGTGGGGGGGTGGGGGGTGGGGGTGTTGTGATCGGCTTGAAAGAAATGTGACTAACTTCTAAGCAAGGTGAATGATGCTCCAAAGAAGTTCTCCGATAAGAATGCAATGAATGCTTTTACACTGATCATGAACAATTTGTGATCGGCTGAAGATAGATTCCACATAAAAATCAATGATGACCAGTTTGATTTATGTTTCAAAGATTACCCTACCCCTCACCCACTTACTGCCTTCCAATCCCTACCCTCCATCCACACACACACAAACGGGAGTCCTTTCTGCCCGGGTAGGCCTTGGCAGGTAGCGTCGGAGCCAGCCTCTTATAAAAATGTTAATGATCTAAATTGTGTCGCTGGGCGCATAAAAACACTTTCACTCAGATATTTTTAAAGGAAAACAACACCTGTGAAAACTTCCGTCCACTCCAGCATCATATCGGTTCTTACACTTAAACATCACATGTGGAAGGCGTTTTTACTATTTGACTTGCCTAATCTCAGAATAAAAACCTTCTTTCTTAAATCTAGATTTCAGTGCGTAGGCGCAACGCAGGTAGCCCACAGTTCCGCTGCGAGAGAGGGCTCCTATCAGGCGTGCGGTGCCGCCCACGGAGCATCCTCCATTACTGTAAACTCCTTGGATTATTCCCATTCTAAATTGGTATGGGGGACAGGTGGCGAATCTACCCTCCTGGCGAAGTTGCCCGACTCTAGCCTTATGACCTGGTAAAAGAGTGAGACGTGACTAAGTATCAGTTTATCTTATAATTGATCATGACAAAAAAAATTTATATTCTGAGGTTCACTTGAACAGATGATTTTTACTTTACTCAACTCCATTCCATTCATTTTTATCTTAGTCTTCTTAGTCTTGGTAAAGTCTTTGGTTCGGACATGTTGTGTCTTGCTTTCTTTCAATTTCTTTGCTTTACAAACCTGCGAAATCTGAGAATGAATTATTTGCTTGAGCTCAGCAATCTTTTCTGGTGGTAAAGCCATGATTCAGAGTGTCCTCAAATTTATATTCTCCAAGTTACTCCGACTATTTTCCTTGAAACATCAGTTTGGCCAACAACACTAGCGGCACAAACACAAGGTATCATTCATTCATGTTTTGACGAAGTTGCCTTTTATGCCAGGTTTTGGGCTTGCTAAACAGAAGAGTGGGGATATGAGTATTTAATTTGATTAATTTTTAAAGAATAAATCTAGATCTAGATCTATGTTTTATTGAATGCTGTTTTCTACAGACCTCATTCTTTGAGAGATATTTTAGGGGTTTTCATTTGAAGAGTTTGAAAAAACATTCAAAACCTATGAAGTTTGCACATAATATCAAAAGTTTACATCCGAGCCAATTGGCAATAGCAGTGGCCCCTCGAAAAATGTGTTCCAAGAAAAATAACTCTCAATTTGTTCAGGGAAAGAGAGTTTCTCTCCGCGGTACATTCCCTTCACTAGCGCAAGGCGCAACGCGCAAGGCGCAACGCGCAAGGCGCAACGCGCAAGGAGAATCGTTGAATTGGTTGGTAGGGGAAGGTGACCTCACTGAGATGGTAACTGTAATGAGTAATGTGGTGGTGGATACATGTATTTCCGGCACGGTCATTCAAGAGCAGTTCTAGTTCTAGTCATAGCTGCTGTATAAAACCAGAGTTCTAATTCAGCAACTACATCAAGTCATCAACAGTTCCGAACGACAACGAAAGGGTTGAAAAATTCAGATACCGGAAGAACGAGAGGGAGGGAGAGAGAGAGAGAGAGAGAGAGAGAGAGAGAGAGAGAGAGAGAGAGAGTGGGATACATTTAGTTAAAGGGAAGAGTAGACAGAGTCACAGAGATAAATGAACACTCATATGGGGAGAGGAGGAAGTTTATTATTAAAGTGTACACGTATATTTTAAGTACGTATTTCTAGGCACACCCGCTTTGGCACGGGTAGGTTTGTACAAAAATACAAATGTACAACTTTACCCATACAAATTAACATAATGTTAATGCTCACTCCTCCTCACTAACACCCACACAAACACACCCACATACACTACATCCATCCCCACACACGCGCACAAGTACACACACCCCTCACAAAAACACACTCACATACACCCCGACACCCACACAAACACCCCCCACACTCACACGCGCACACACACACACACACACACACACACACACACACACACACACATTGACCTATATATACTTTACCACCCCCAAAAACCTAAACCCAAAATCCGTATTGTTTGCAAAGAACCTTTGTGTTGTTGTCAGTTCATGCTTTATCTACCAAACATTCTCATTGCTTAATTTGCAAAAATTAAATCGGTCATTGAAAATGTTTAACGCCCGTCATCCCTGTAAAGTCT